TTCAAAACAGAATTCCTATCAAAAATTCTCAGGTGGGCCACGTCTAACGTGCATTGATGTTTTCAACTTTGGCTTAGGTTCTCGTTTTTTGCTCTCTCCTTGTACATCAATGCCTCAAACTGTAGTCCCTATTGAAAGATTAATTTTTACAGTCTCCGCATGCTTCAAACGAAGATTTGAAGGGCTTAACGTAAAGTTGAGAATTATCTCCTGCTGCATCAAGCATAATATGCTTAAAAGGCTACGTTTGTTGATTTGATTGCAGTGATTTAAATGGCGGCCCGCCTGTGGATACGAACTTTGGGAGAGATGTAAGCCATTTTCGTTTTTATGTCTACTTTGTAACTATCGAATATTTTAGGGCCATGTGTGGCAATATTGTTGATAAATAGTCCTTAAAAAGTGCGTTAGCGGACCAAGGGAACCTAATTACATTGATTTATTCTGGAAGTAATGACTGTAACGTCGTTAGAAATAAGTTTAATTGTATCACTGTATTAGCCTTGAGAAAGTGTTCTCCTGTGAACTTTGGGCTTCCCTTTTGTCCTTGTTTATTTGGTCGAATACTTCTGGGTTCGCAGTGTTAAAGCAGTGGAAATACACTTCGACTTTGTTACTGCCGTATTTCCCTTCTTCCATTCTCAATCTTTTACGCACATAGCATTGTCCATTTATTTGAAAGTTCTGACATTTGTTTTATCAATGCTTTATTTTTGTTCGAACCCTAACAGCAACCGACAAAACTTCTTATAGATGCTCATGCATAATTGTAATTAATGTAATCACTAACAGTTTGCACTCAGGGTTTTCGAACTGCTTTCGTTTTTTTCTGCTTTTTTTCTGTAAGATTATGTTCCTTGGGCTCTGAAGTATGTCGATTCCAGCTGAATAGGGTGCGCCCTTCCCAGCGGCATGAGGTTATATAAAAATATGTGCCTTTTCAGTCATATACCTCCCTCTACTCACTTCACACCGTCAGTTGGTGTAATCCTGAGCCTCCCACTACACTAGTCAACGACACTGCTATCATCAAGAATATCTTCACCGCTCTTGATACACTCCAACCCTCTGGGGTCCCACCTGTCGCTCGAGGGGACGAGGGCATTCCAATAGTACCACTGTTACGCGTAGCCCTTAGCCTCTTTGATAACCTTGAGAAACATCGTCGCCGCGCTCTAGGTCTGCGCTTACGACGTCGTCACCTGATCCTCCTTCTGCGCTCGCCCTGCGCCACACTTGAACCCCTTGAGGCTGAGGCAGCGGTCTTATCGGGAGAAGCGGTTGCGGAAAGCTCTGCCACAATGACAGAGGCAGGGGAGTGTGTGGAGACAAGTGCTGCTGGAGAATCAGCGGGTATTGAGGGAGTGGTAGCAGATAACAGCACAATCAGAAAGGGTGTTTTGGCACAGCTACGTGAGCTTCGTGTAGCGGTCAGTGTCTTTTCGCCTTGTGATCACGAGAATTTGAGACGCTTGGCGCGAATGTGTAATATGTTGCCGCCAGATATTAGAAGGGATCCGAAGTGGCCCACGGTCATCTTCTCGCGTGAGTTGAAGTGCAGCTCCATTTCTCTACAAATATCATAGCAAAATAGATTGATGTTTAAGGTCTATTGTATGAAGTAATAGCAACAAATGTATAATGTAGGCTTGGCATTTAGTAATAAATTGGGCTTAGCTCTTTGGTGCTGCTACCTTGTTTATCTCGTACGTGGTTAGGCATGCGATTTCATTAGGCTGGGAAGCTTAAGCAAATCTTTTTAGTTTAGACTTTGACTCCAGCGCAAATTCTTATGTTCCTTGTCATAATTGTCATTAGTCTCTGTGACCACTTCTTAAAAACGGGTTAAATAAAGCAAGTCATAAGTTTTTTTTGTTACAAAAGGCACTAAAGTTACAAAGTTCCGATAGTCTTGGGTTATTACCATTGACTAGCCCTACTTTGCTATATGAGGAGTTCTAAGGATAAGTTAAATAAGTGGTCGTACTTGTCAATTTTCATCCATTTTAGGTGAGATATCCCAGGTTTCGCTGGCTCAGCGCCATTCTGGCAGTGCCACAGCTTCGAGACGATCCACAGCACCACTTTCACCGCAACAGCAGCAAGTTCTGCAACAAACACCTCCTCAGCCTGCCTCTACCCTAGGAAGCACTGAACCCTCACCCCGTCACACGTTACAGACTCAAAATCAGAAATCCCTACAGCAACAGGTGCCGCCGTCATTGTCCCAACACCAGCAGCCACCACCGGTGCGTCATGTGGTCGGAGGTCCTGGCGACTGTTCTGCTCCTTCTCCTCACCAGGCGAGGCTGGTGAGATACTTCTTCAATATTGTTTACCTATTCTAACCGAAACAAATGGGGGACGTAGTGCTATGTTTGCGATTTGATATTGTGATTACTTCCTATTGACTGACCTTTACATAGTGACGTCGTTTTTAAAGCGTTTTATATCACCCTAGGTTTTGCGAGTAACCCTATTGAATTGCCACAAAGCAAAATCCAAAAAAGGCTGTGTGAGTTTGCTTCTGACAGAGGAGCTTCGTTATATTTCATCGTTTCTTGTGTAGGCATGCACAAAATTCAAGGCACAGCAAGAGTAGATTCACTTTAAG